TGGGATCAAAAACAGTGGGGGGGAGGGAAATGCGCTGGACTTGGTGATGGCACATGGGTGATTTGGTGATGGGAAACCCAAGGGGATTGCAAATGAGATGGAAAAATGCACAAAATGATGTAAAAATAAACTATTCTCTCTCTCTCTCTCTCTCTCTTTCTCTCTCTCTCTATATATATATAAGCAGTGGTTACCATGGACTTGGGTGAAGAGAGAAAGGAATGAATAAGCACAAAGCTGCAGGGTTTTAGGGCAGAGAAACCATACTAATTGTAATGGTGATACATGTCATATTACATGGTCAAAACCACAGCACACTCAGAGTGAGCCCTAACGTAAACCATGAGCTTTAGTTAATAAAAAATGTTGCAACTGTACTGAGATGAAAAAATGTGTAAAATTAAGAATGATGTAAAAAATAATAAATATATTTTAAAAAATCTCAACTGTAACAGATTTACCACACTAAATGTACCATGCTAAATGCAAGATGTTAATAATAGGGGAAACTGTATATGGCCACAGGTGGGGAAGGCGATAAATGGGAACTTTTGTACTTGCTCAGTACTTCTACAAACCTAAAATCGCACTAAAAGTAAAGTCTACCCAAACAAAGATAGTAGAGTAAAAATGAAAACAATGAACAACTACAAATCAGAGATATTTTATGGAAGGGAGAATGGGATCAGAACTGGGGTGGGAAGAGTGCACTGGACTGTGGTGATGGCACACGACTGAATTGGTAGTGGGAAGCCCATGGGAACTGCAACTGAGATGAAAAAATGCACAAAATGAAGAATGATAAAAATATTAAAAATTAAAAATGTCTACCCATATTTTAAAAATGAGACTATAATGTGAATAGTCCTAGTTTTTTTTCTTTACTACAATATGCATACCAATATGCATACATTATTTAGCTCTTCCCAGGAACTCAGCCTGAACAGCAGAAAGGGAAGGAAAGGGGTGGCTAAAGAACAGAATTGAAGATGTGGAAGGAGGATGAGGTTCAGAGAATATGTGGGACTTTAACTGCAGAGGGATGGGGGGAGATGTTTTCCCAAGGGGTGAAAATTTGGACCAGTGTAGGTAACTTGAGTCATGTATCTGAGCATCTCCCAACAGCCTGGGAGTTGGAGCGGGCAGGGAGTCTGGGCTCAGGATGTCCTGGTCCCTTCCTGGCAAAAGGCTGGATTGAGCAAGTACAAGGAAATGAAGTCACACATCACATTCACCCCTGTGCCAGCATATTCTGGGACTTCTCTGCTGGGGGGCGAAGGGGGGACATGGTGAGCAGGTGTAAAAGTCAAGCAATTGTGGCAGACAGTTGCCTGATTTCCAAGATAGAAATCTGCCAGGACAGGTGGAAGCCGGTTCCCTTGGGAACCATGGAAGGCCCTGCTCTACCTAAGCCAGGATGTGTGCGGCTTAACCTCCGTCCCACCTCACACTGCTGTGACCTTGCGAGTCACTGGTGTCTCCTCCATCGCTCTCTCTGCCAAACTCCCACCGTTCAGAGAGGATGTGCCTGTCATGAGAATGCCTGTGATCTGTAGGGATGACTTAGGAGAACTCCTGGTGGGCCTTGGCTCAGCCAACCTGGCCTTGTGCCTCCTGCCCTGGAGGCCACAATCAAGACACTTTCATAACTCCTGCCTGCCTTCTACCTGTCTCTCTGTCTCTGTCTCTGTCTCATATCATCTTTTCTCTATATGTGTTAATCTAGATGTCTCTCTGCTGCCTAAAGTCTGGGCCCTTTCCTAAAGTCCAGGGTCGCATGCCCCACTCATGCAATCAGCATGGATACTTGAATGTACAATATCCATCTCTGCTTGCAGAAAAGTGAACCAGCCACCCTCCACCCACGCACCACCCAATCACACCTCCACCCTAATCCAGTCACAGTATTTCTTGCATCTGTTAATGGCAACTCCATTTGTCAGTTATCTCTAGTTTGAAAATGCATCCAAATGTTTCTAATCTCCCCTGAAGCTACCATTTTGGGGGTAACTTCATAATCTTTCGCTTCCACCAAAGCCTATACTCCCTTCATTCTTATTAGCACGTCTAAGTGATTCTTTTCAAACACAAAGATACTCCCATGATTCACTCAGAGTCATCCTCTTTGCAGTGACCTTCTAGGTGTTACCCCATCTGCCTCATTTAGTGCTCTGACCTCATCCTCTATTTTCTCCCTTGATTACCCTGCCTCAGGCCCACTGTCCTTGTTCCTTGGACTAGGCCGGGCAGGTTCTGTCCTGTAGACATCGGCATCAGCTATAGTTCTGACTGGAATGCTTGTCCTTGCTTTCCCATGAGCTTCTCTCATCACCCTCTAGTCCAGGCTCATATATATTTTCTCAGTGAGATATACCCCAAGCTCCATATTTAAAGCAGCACCCTGGTTAAGTCTTTCCCCAAAGGTTGTGCCCTGATCTTCCTCCACATAGTCATCTTATATACCTACAAATTTTTCATTTGTGCACTATCAACGTAAGCTTGTTGGGGAAATAGTTTTTTGTTTTTTTTTTTCTGTCACAGTTGTATTCCCAGGCCTTATACAAGTGCCTAGCATATTGTAGGCATTCAATATTGGTTGGAGGGGTGAAAAAATGGTTGAGTGATGCCATTCATCCTCCAGCCTGGCAACTTCATCCTGACCCCTCATACATTTGTATACTTTTGAAAGTTAGTCCTTTACAGGTACTTTCCAACTCACTGTGTTCTGACATGGCACACCCAGTTTGCAACTGGACCTTTGATGCCGCTGGGCCTTTGCTCGTGTTGTGTTCAGCCTGGGAACGCCTCTCCATCCCCACCTCCTGCCTGATTTCTGCTCATCCTTTGAAACTTAGTCTGCATATTGCCTTATTCAGGGATCCTTCCATGAATACCCTGAAAACTAGGTTAAGTGCCCTGCTGTGTACTTTCACCTACTTCCTCCAGCCCCTTCTTGACACATAGCTTTCTTGAATTTTTATTTGACTATCCACCCCATGATTTCACAATCTCTAAGGGAAGGGAAGAAGGTCTGTGTGTTTTGCATGCTGTGTCCCTATGGCCTGGCATAGTATCTGGCATGTGGTAACTATTTGAATTGTTGAAGACTCAGCACAAAGGCATTTTTATCCTCAGACCTTTTGAGTACATTCTCACCAACTGGTCTTCATTCTAGAAGGCAGTTGGAATGCAAAGCAATGGGGGGGGGTCACACAGGTGACAGGGCTACAGCAGGCCCCCAGATGGGCTACCCCTGCAGGACCTAATCAGTAACAATGATGCAGAGCAGGGAGATGCTTTCATTTGCTTTTGACAGCCCGTCATAGTGGCTGTGTGCTTTTGACAACCACAGAGGCACCTCCCGAGGATGGAGTATGTGGCACTCCTCCAAAAACCTTCCCTCTACATCACAGGCATTTGTAGGAGCTCTGAGGAATTGTGCTTATGTCCAAAATGTACTGTATTCCTGAAACCTACATCTTAAGCTTTCATTCCATCGAAGTTGCTCCACTGGGGTCCAAACACACCATGGGAAGCCATCATAGAATCAAGCCTGACCTTCATCTATAGTGAACGTTAAAAAAGGAGTCTCCTCTGCTCAGTTCCCTTTCTCCATAGTCCAGGGTGCGGCTGGAAGGGTTTAAAAATGTTAACCCATCTGAAATATGGCTTTACGCCCCTGGAAAACACCATCTTCCCCTCCTTTACTCTCTCCTTGACACACACATTGAAAATAAGGAGCACACACAGGTGTTTCTTTGCGTAGAGTTAGAGAGTACATTTGGAAAGAGTCCTGCCTTGCTTGCACATTAATGGAATTGATGGTGGCCTTTTTTAGGGGATGCAGAGGCTTGGTGACTTTTGAACTCCTTTTACCTGGACTGCCTTTTTTTTTTTTTTTGAAGTATGAACTGAGAAATCCTGAGTGATTTCCTTACTGAGTGCCACCAGTCAGTTGGGGACGGTGCTTGGCGATGGTTGGGAAAGGCACAGGAGCTTGGAGTGGCTGTCAGGCTGGGTGCGTTTCACCCTGGGAGGTATCAAAGCAGATCCTGCGTTCCTCTGTGGCCTTCTCCAACCTAGTTTGCTTCACTGGGTCTTTGGTGCTGTAGGTCTCGTCTCAACTTTTCTTTGTCATGGTTTTAGCTGCTGTCTCATCCTTAGAGAGGACTGGGTCCTTTATGCCCTCTTCCTTTCAGTTAAGGATTAATACAATATTGCAAGTGTTTCATTTTATTTCCCATGGCAGCTTTTGTAGCTTCTGGAAGGTTGGAGCTCTAGTGAGTACAGGGCTGCTTTTACCAGAGCTTTCTGTTCTTAGCCTTGGAAAGTGTGGTCCCTATAAACTGGCCCTACAAAGTTTGGGTTTGAAAAATGTGACCCTTTCAAATGAATGGTAGTTTGGAAGGGTCATTCTTGCTATCAGCCTTGCAGGTCATTCTTATCTGTCAGCCTTGCAGGTCATTTTTATCTGATCCTCTTGACCCAAGGAATACTGGAGTCTCCTTCAGGAACTGAGTGAGGGAGGAACTAGTAAAGCTGCTTACAGGAAGCAATAAGCAGAGGATGAAGAGGATGGCTCTACAGGTCCTCACCAGTGCCTACTTACACAGGTAACTATCCTGGCCAAACAAATTCTACCTGAAAAAGAACCAGGAGATATATTTGCAAAATCAGAGGCTCTGAGGCTTCCTACTGGCCCCTCACCTTGGTCGAGTAGCTACTCTGATTGGAGAGAACGTCACTGCACCTGCTTCTCTGCTGTTCACTGCAGCTTTGAGTCTCCCTGGGTCCTGGTTCTCTGCCATAGGATGTTGTCCCATCCTTGCAGGGGCTGAGGCTCAGGCTCCAGGGCCCTCCAGGCTGGGGCTGCTCATATTGGCCTCCAGCTGAGCACACAGCACCTGAGTGTCGGCCACAGCCACGTCCCACTGAGCTGTGAGGTACTGAAGGCCCACAGGATGATTCCAAGTTGGAATACTCTGGGTCTATGGCATGCCCTTAGTCTAGATGCAAGCACTTTGTTAAGGTGGATTATTCTGGGGCACACGGGATGACTGGGGGAAAGAGGGGGACAGGGGAGTTCCTGGAGCATTGCTTTCCCTTAGCTATTTAGATTCATAAAAGATGCCTAAGCACAGATATTCTTTGTTGTTCTTTATTACTGGATTCCTTTGTTGAGAAGACTTATGAGACTTCTCAAGTATATCTCCAGAAATTTTTTTTTTAAGGTAAAATTTAGTTTGGCAAAGCTGAGTGTTTGAATAAGCAGGGGGGGCAGACGCCTGGCTCTTTAAAGCAGCAGCAGCATTCTCCTGCACTTCAGTCTGCACAGTCTGCACCAGTGCCCCTGGCATCTTGAGAGCCTGGCCCAGGACTCCAGTGCCATTTAGATGAGGCTGGGCTAGCAGGGCCAGGCTGTCTCTGTGATTACAGATCAGCTAGTGATCAGCAGGGCCATGGCCTGGGAGGTCGCACATAATAAAGAGTGAGAGGCCTGATGGCAAGCCCACAACTTGAATCCAGTTCCTCAACGGCTTCCTAAGAAGACACAGGGCAGGTGCTGGTCAGAGCAGTCACTGACAGCATCTGGTGAGGCTTGTTGCTACTGGTCAAGCCCTTTCAATATTTAGGGTATCGCTTCCAGATCAATCTAGGAGTTGACTGCTGCCTCCACATCTAGCAATGGTGAATCAACTTGCACCCCCAAATTGAAAGGCCCCCTGGGTCTCCGGACAGGTTGCAACATGTGTCAGGGGCCTGTTACAAGGTTCTCTGCAACTACAGTGATCTCTGGATAACAGCTGGCAAGCCCCACTGATGCTGGAACTGCCCTTGCAGTAGAGGCCCGCCTAGGCTTCTTCACAGCTGGCCAGAGCTGAAATGGGACATTGATATGGGCTAGTTGATAGATGGAAAAGCCCTTATTCAGGAATATGGAAAGAAAGTGGGGAGACTGAGGTGAAGGACAATTTAGATAGTATAGATATTAAGGAGAAGTCACTTACAAAGAAACCAGGGCTCCTCTTTTGTGGAGAGATCTCCAAGGGAGACAAAAGGGCAATGGTGCAGAAGAGAAGACCCGTAGAAAGGTATCTGAGTCCAGTGCTGCTGCACACACTGAAGCCTCCGTGTGGCCCCAGGCAGCAGACAGAGGTTACTGGGAAGCTGAAAGGTGTTATGGGTAGAGCAAGAGTCCTGAAGATTGGGATTTGCTTGCAGTGGTATTTGCTGTGGGCCCACAGTGGATCGTTCAAAAACCCAGACAATGTGGGTACTGGCTGGCCCATTCTTTCAACAGAGGCTTTCCATGTAACATTCATGATAAACAAATGGCAATACTCTGTTAGACTTGGACAGTCTGGTGGGCAGGAGGGCATTGTGACATGAGCAGTCACAAGAACTTTTCCACAGGATTTGGGAGCCTGTAGGTGGAGAAATGCATGCATTCATGTACGTGCATTTAGTTACCACAAGGCTGTTGGGACACAGGAACAACAGGTGAAGGAATGTACAGCAGTGGGGTTTCTTAGGTGTGTGAGCCACAGAGAAAAAAGAGAATCAGAGTATTCAAGGGCTGCTAACCTTGTTTTTCCAAAACACGTTGTGTGTCACGTTTCATGTCCTGATGGCTCACAGTCATCCCAGTCTCCTCCAGATGAAGACAGAGCTCCTGTGTCACTAGACACCTTTGGTACTTGAAATCCCTGCCCCAGCTGGCAGCGTTTGGCCCAGTAACCATGGATGCAGACTGCATCAGTTGATGGAGCAGCTAACTGAGTAAAGGATTTCTTGTCTGTTATTTGGACACCTTTCAGGTAGAAGAGAATGCTCTTTGGAGCGTGGGGAAATCTGTTTTTGTTTTCTTTTTTTTTAAGAAACAAATTAGACATGGCCATCCTGTGTATGCAAGGGGAGCCCTGAGGTGGCCCTGCTGAAGATGAGGAGGTCAGGCTGGTCCCCCCACCAGCAGACGCTTGATGTCCCGAGCCACAGCATTGCAGGTGTTGCAGCTGGGGTCAGCACACTGGAGCGGTTGCAGTCTGCCTCCTCGGATGCCTGTGGTCTACAGATGGGTCCTGCCCTGCCCCAGTCCTGGGCTCTACACTCCCAGTCTGTCTGTGCCACTGCCTTTCACATCAGGCAGCATAGGGTTGGCTAGTGAGGGCCTGGGGCTGTGGGCATTGCCCCAGGGAGGAAGATTGGGAGCCTAGGGCTTGAGGGGAGGGGCTGAGGGTGAGTGCTCTGTGACCTCGCTCACAGGTTGAACCAGCAGAAGGGAACCAGGCAGATGGGGTGCCAGTGGTTAGCTAGTTTGGTATCTCCAGGAACACCACCAGGTGTACCCAGAGGCAGCCTCATTTGGGGCAGAGAGGCCACAGCTGCTGTTCAGTACCCAGCATGAGAGATGAGTTCCTGGTGGGATCTCTACATCCTGGGGCTACAGTGTGTCCACAACCATCAGTGCTTGGAGGCCAATCCCATCTCTGAAGATCTTTAAGCAGAGGCTAAAATGACAGGCTCCTGTCTGAGTGCTGCCCCAGGAAGTAACTTCACTGGAGACAGAATCAGAGGAGGGATGTCAGCTGGATCCAGCCAGACCCCAGGAGACTTCCCTGAAAGGTGTCACTGTCAAGTGACTATGGTGATAGGCCGGGTCTGTATGGGCTTACTTTTCTACTCTGTGGACCCGATGATATCTCCTGTGGCTGAGTGCAAACCCATGTAGAGTCTTTATTACTTACATACTAGACAGGTCCTGGATTCTAGGCCTATTTGTTCCTGACCAGAGCAGAAGTGGACAGTCCCCCTCCTGAGATGTGTGATACCCTTGCTCTGGCTGCCTTTACAACCACTGTCCAGCCCCTGTTGTCTCACCTCCTCCCAGCTACTCTCCCTCCTCATCTAGATTGAGCTGAGAAATCACCACAGGCCACAGTGGGAGCTGGAAGTGTGCAAAGAGCCAGAGATCACCTTTTCATGAGAGAGAGCAGCTCCCTGGGCTCGTTGGCTTCTTTCCTGGAACATCCCCTAGCTGAGAAACCAGGAGACAGGGTTACATGGAGCAGGGGAGGACCCGGGATGCCCTAGAGGCCTCTGAAGGATCGGGGCTGAAATCCCAAAAATCAGTGCATGAGGCACATCTGTGCACAGAGTAAGTGCCTTCAATGTGCTTCCCTCCCCAATCTCATTTGGTCCCATGGTCACAGTGACTGTGTCCAATTCATGGGAAGAAGACTGAGGGTAGAATGACTTTCACAGGGTCATGGAATTAGCCACAAAGGGCTTTTGCCTGATCCCCACACCTCATTCTTGTGGCAAAATTTTGGAACATTTTCTAAGTCCAATTTCCTATGTAGGAGAAGTTTCTGGGAGAATTTGGGGAATTGAATCCTTAGGTTTTTAGAGCATCTGGCTCCAGACATCAGGATCATAGAGGGACAGGGTCAGTGAGAACATAGCCCACAGTGGAGGGATTTTGGGGAGAGACTGGCACTTTACCTCTTGATGGTATAACATTAGCCCTTTGTTTGACTCTCCGGTGAAACTTAAAGACAGAAAAAAGAGTTTGAAGCGTGGACACCCTTTTCATATCTAAAATGAGATTAAAAACTTATAAATACTTCCCCAATTTTTTGGTATTTCTATTTTACACATTCTTTACTCCCCCTCACACCTTTATTAATTATCCCATCATTTCATTTCCTTTGTCTCTTATTTTGGATTCACTCTGAGGCTCTTCCATACTCCATACCTCCACCCCATTCCCTAAATAAGTTTTGTAGAGAGATCAGAATGAGATGGGAGGAATAGTAGAACAGATTTAAAAAGATTAAAGTGTGGGTAGTAAAGTAGCCAAAAAGTCCCTAAATGCTTGCCAACAGAAGAATCATCCACATTTGGAGCTGTTCTGGGATACAGTAAGGAAAACTATCTGAAAAGAAAGCTGGGGTTCAGATTAACAAGAGACGAGGGGGGGGAGGAATCTCCTTATTTGAGGCTTAATCAGTTCAGTCATAGTCACAATCTTTCCCTACCCAGCAACAGCTCCTGTTACATTCCAACTTAGTTACTTGGTCCTTTTTGACTCGCCAAATAATGAATATAGTAATGATGAAGGAGCCAGGTGCACAGGGATGTCAACATTCCACAGAACAAAGGTAGGGCTTGACATAAATCACCAGCTGTCCCTCTTCCTAGGCATTCAGGATCTTGGAACTTAGTGCCTCAAAGTTCTAGACCTTGTCATGTCTGCCTAACAGAGGAACCAGACCACTAGCCTGTATCACAAAGCCCTCCTGTTTCATAAGACAAGCACAGTACCTGTCTTTCTTAGGTGAGGTTCATGTGATTCAGTGATCAGATGAGGGGGTCCTATTATCTAACGGGTTGCAAAGCCTGTATCTAAAGGCACCAAGCCTGTACTCTATTACCTGTACCCTGATGAATATTCTCTCCTTTATGAGAAGTCTGCACCCCTGCTGCTGGGACATTCAGCCTCCCATCAGCCTGACCTCTGGCCCTAGGTAAAACCATCAAATTAGCAAACTTCCACCTGCTCCACCCAGTCCACCATTTACCAGACCAGTTAACCCACTGTCATTACGCCCAA